TGTTAAAGTTACATGATGTTTGAATACTGAATGTTCTTTAAAAATGAACAATAACAAGCTATTAGGATTGATCAGGCAGGTTTAAAAGAATCAAACAACTTTTTAAAACAAAAAACATAACAAATTAAAATCACATTGAGTACATTTAATAGCAGAAATGACACATGGAGAAACTGGAGAATTGGAATATAGATGTGAAGAAATTGGGCAGCATGCAGCTCAGGGACACAAGGATGGACAGTATGAAAGAGACGAGAGGTGGGATGAAGACATGATGTGTACAACTTGGGTCTCAGAGATGATGAGGTAATGTCTGATAACTTTTCAGTAATGACAAAGACATGACTCATAGGAAGCATACTGTAACCCAAGCAGGGTAAAGAAAGGGTACCATATTTAGATGAGCTGGCATCAAACTGAAGAACACCAAGTCAAGTAGTGCTGTAAAAGAGGCCAGAGATGTCCTACCCACAGAAGGGTGCCATCCTGATACCAACTTCTTGACAACGGAGGCCAGAAATCCACAGGATGATCAGATATTTCATTAACTTTAAGATGCTATCAATTCTAAATCACACCATTTCTTATTTTCTTTTTCTTTCTTTGGTACCGAGAATCGAACTCAGGACCTTGCACTTGCCAGGCAGGCGCTTATGCCATTGAGCTACATTCCCAGCCCCACACCACTATTTCAAATAACACCAATAAAGAAAAACATTGTGCTAATTAAACGGTGATGTGCACAATAAAGTCTGAGATGGAAGAAGGAAAGGTGTGTTGTAAGGAAACTGACTTTCACAATGCTATAGGCACAAAATGATAATGAAAATTTCTAATTTATGGGTTTTCAAAAAACAAATTAGAATGTTGGTCCACAGTATCATGAAAATCAGGAGCATGTTGATCAGAATTACAAGTGCTAAAGTCTCCTACTATTAAAGAAGGGGTAATAATACCAGGTAATTTTAGATTGTAGTGAGTATGCACTGGAAAAGCTCAGAAGTAAACAGAAGAAAAATACTATGTAAAATTTCCAAGCTAGTACATAGGGAGAAACATAAAAGAAAAACAATCAGCACATTAGAAAGTGAGAAAAAGAAGCACGAGAGGCCACAAAATAATAGAATTATGTTTCAGAAATAAGTATAAGTGGAATGAACTTGTCTACAAATGTAGAAATTAGCACATAAAACCACAAAATGTTTATTTGGCTTATGAGAACTTCAGCTGAAATGAACACCTGGAAAGCTAGGCAGTAAGAGAACTGAAAGAATATATACTACTGAGTATTAACCAAAACAAAGATAGCTATTGATACCACAGAAAATAGGTTTTTGATGGCAAAAAACCTCAACTATAGGGAAGTCACTACCTAATAAAAAGGGTGCAACTCACCAAGATGACATAACCATTCTAAACTTTATTCATTCAATAAAATGCATAAAGTAAAAATTGATAAAACAGGAGAAACTGATAAATCTACCATTACAGTGACAGAAATCAAAACATCTGTTTAATTACTGATGTGAGGGGTACATAAAGGTAGAGATGAAAGATTTGAACACAATTAACAAACTTGTTTTAAGGGACTCATCCAGAAAACAGTGAGAAAATAAATGTTAAACACATGTGGAACACTTCAAAAACTGACCATATCTGGACATCAAGCACATTTCAAAAAGCTCTAATGTGTAATAATAGAAAGTTTACACTTGTATTACTTTCTTAGGGCTGCTGTGTAACAAATTGTCACAAACTTTGTAGTTTTAGAACAATGGAAATTTATTCTTTCATAGTTCATATTCACTGGAGACCAGAAGTCTAAAATCAGTTATTACTATTCTTAGTTAAACTTTTCTCATTGCTGAGACAAAATACCCAACACCCAAAGTTAAAGAAGGAAAGATCTATTGTAGCTCAGTTTGTAGAGGTTTCGGTTCATAGTTGGCTGGCTCTAAGGCAGGTGGCATGGCAGAGGGGAATTGCAGAGGAGAAACAGTTCGTGGCAGATAGAAGGCGGGAAGGTAGCAAGCAGCAAAGCAACAAGCAGCAAGTGGTGAACCTCTTTCTGTCCCTTATATTCTATCCAGGCTACCCGGCAGGGTGGGTAGTACTGACACCCAGGATGAGGCACCTTTAATCCTGCCCAGAGTAATCACACACTCCCTTGATTCCAGCATCACACACTCTAGATCCAGCCACCTCTGACCACATGAGGGTTGGGAGAGAGGGAATTGAGACACAAGCCATAACATATTCCAAAATTAAACTTGGCAGGGTCCTTCACCTCCCACAATTTTATGGCTGCTGGCTTTGCTGGCTTTTGGCCAAATTATTCCTGCTTCCATGGTCAGAGCCTTTCCTCCTCCCAACTGTAATCACTCTACCTTTCTTATTAAAGACACCTCCTCAGTGTAAGTAATTCATAAATATTTGGCCATTTGGGTACACAACTGCACACCACATCTTTGGCAAGAAAAACACTGAAGAGTAAAGACCTGGCACAACCTACTAGGTACTGGGGAATCTGCTCCAAGTATTTGTTCTCCTAGGTAAAGGCAGTACATGTCAGTTAAGAAAACCATCCTTATCGTTCAGGATGCTTTTTTTTTTAAAAGCAGGGCCTAGAGTATTTAGCCACTAATAAATTATTTATTCACTAATTGCTTAATATAACCCTACTGCAAGTTAGTATTCTAGTTCTGAATTGCTTTGACCATTCATGAAAAAGACTTGGAAAACAGTATTATGAAAGCTTTTGTTTACTATAATATACTACAGACCTTAGTAACAGGTTAAGAAAAACACTTTCCCATCTCAAGGTCCTTAACTTAATCACATCTGGAAAGAGACGTGTGGTGGATTAACTAATGGTCAACTTGTAACACCCAGCTGAACTGTATCAGTATGGTGCTGGGTATGGCAGGACCACCTAAGGACTGTTGCCAGCAGCATATAAGGAGAACTGGAGGGGAAAATGGCGCGCTATTGATTCTCCTAGAGAAGACTATCACGCTGCTTTTCCTGATGGGAACTCAGCTGTTATCATCAGAGGAGCTTGCTGATGGCTGAGGTTCACTTTGGGGAAGCTCTGGTCCTTACTTTGAGCATTGCTTCCTGGTTCCAGAGGGGAAGATGGTGCTGTGGATTCTCCTGGAGAAGTGTGTCATGCTGGTTTTGTGTTTCTTTTGTGGGGAGCTCTGGTCCTTACCTTGAGCACTCTTCCTGGCAGACTTTCTAGATTCTATCACTGACTGACCTTTGGGCCTTCCAGCGCAGATCCTTGATATCAACTGCATGAGATATTGTCGTGGGCTCTAGGCCTCCAGCTAGACTCATGCAGGATATTGCTATGGCATCCAGGCCCTCAGCTGGATTCTTTGGGTCTCTAGGGTGTGGACAGATCTGCACTCTTTTGCATTTGCTCTTTGGGTGAGTAATATAAAATAATCCTTTAAATTATGTGTCCTGTATTAAGTTGTTTTCCTTGTAAACTCTGACTACAATAAGCCCCTTTCCATGTAAAGTAACATTTAAGGGTTCAGGTCTAGTGTTTTGGAAATTCATTATTCAACCTACTATAACACACACAACAGTAGCAACAGCAACACCACCACCACCACCACCACACACACACACACACACAGAGTTCTAAGTAACTATGTTAATTTATAGTCACAAAAATATATGAAGTAGGTACTAGTCCCATTTTTCAGATGGCAAAGCCAAGAATGATTATTATAATTTGCCTCAGCTGTATCATATGCACATGTTCTTTGACCACAAGATGAGTTAGATCCAGTAACAAAAGTCATTTAAAAAAACTTTTATTTGGAGTAATTTCAGATTTATAGTAAATTTACACAACAGTACAACGAATTTACAGATACTTTTGCCTAGATTCTCCAGATGTTGTTAACCTTTTATATTTGCTTACCATTTTCAATATACATTTTACTGAAACTGTTTTCTTTTGCGATTTAGTTGCATAGTAATGCTCCATTATCCTTAAGTACTAGTGTATATTTCCTAAAATAAGAACTAAAATTTTCTTAAGTACCATTATCAAAATCTGGAAATCAACATCAATACAATGATAATTAACTTATAGACCTTACTCAGATTTTAAGAGTTGTCTCCAGAATATTCTATCTGGCAAAGTCCTACCTTGTGTTAGGTTTCCCAGTATCAAACTCTTCCTTGGCAACATCCTTGTACAGGTTTATGAAGCATGGGAACAGTCTTACTTTGTAGAGATCCAGTGTCACTGTGGCCTTAGTTTCAAGCATTAAGAACACTTACTTTCATTCAACATTATTGTTATATCATTTTTATTAGGACAATCCGGTCAGCAGCTATAGGTTACAATAGGTTACTAACTGAAAAAGTACAATGCCATTGCTGTGGTGCTCGCTCTGTTACAGAAGCAGCCTAGGTTACATACGTGAGCAGCACCGGTGCAGCAGAAACAAGGGTGGCTGGGGGTTCGGCTCCCAGTTCAGGGTTTCAGTAGCACCATAGGAAGCTACCAGTTTCCGAGTACATTTGAGCCTGTTACCTTTGTAATTCAATCATAGTATACATTTAAATTGAGGAGAAATAATGTATATGATAAAAAAGAATATATTTTAGTAGGCTTCTTATGTGAGAAGTAACTTTTTTTTAACAAAAAAAATTTTTGAGACAGGGTCTTGCTATGTAGTTCAGCCAGGCCTTGAACTTACTTTGTAGGCTGGATTGGCCTCAAACTCACAGCAATCCTCCTGCCTCAGCCTCCCAAGTGCTGAGATTACAGGTGTGCGCCACAAAGCCCAGCTACCCACAAATATTTTTGTTACTAGCTCCTTTTGAGAAAGAAGAGTTCCATATAAATGTACAAACTGATCATATATTTAGAAAACCTTACACATCCGTGTAAATTGCAGCGTGTCTCCCCCTAAGTAAATCAATGAATCCCCATTCCCTGAAAGTGTTAAAAAAAAAAAAAAAATGCTTAGGCATTATGTTTTCTAATATATTTCTGAGAAAATGTAAGTATAATGATCATTAGCATCTTGGACCAGATGAAACTACTGAATTTTACGTCTGTCTCTTGTCACCCTGTGATTTGTTATAATCGTGAAGTTGTTCTTGGTAATACCTGTTCTATGTCCATTTGATATGAGCACTTACATTACGCTCCAAAATTTTTCCAAGTGGTATCAGACTATGTCAGGAACTCCTAAGAGCAACTTTTGTCTCCTTCCCAATGTGGCAATGCTCAGCCATGCCAGTTCACTACTGAAAGGACAACCACAGGTTCTGGGGACAGGCGGGGCACCTTGCAGGGCAGAAGCATCTGGCCAAGTTCTCAATGCAGGTATCAGTGCTTAGTTCTTCTTGTTCTTCTTCAGAAAGCGAGCTCGCACGGAATGGTTCACACTCATGGTTATTTTAAAGTAAATCCAAGAAGGAAGGGCTGAGGTGAGTAAAGCCTAGGGAAAGAAATGGGGAAGATATGTAATTACAGTCTTCAATTGGGGGTAAATCAAAGCCTTTTGTCTTATGTTTTACTATACTGCTACTTTATTTAAAAAGTACATTTCAAAGTTCTTGGATGTATACTTTAAAATAAAACATAGATGCTTGCTGAGCCTAGACAATGTACATAGTCAGTATAAATAGTAAATTATTTGGGACTCAATGGGAAAGAAAACCTCAAACTGGAAAGTACTGATCTGGGACTTAGAAATCTACATACCATAAGAGAATGGACCAGGTATCCACAGGTGCGAGACGTCAGGCCTACTGTATTAAGCGCAGACTTCACAAACGTGTCTGGAGAGGGCTTATCCAGAGTTGGCTTTCGGATTTTAGCCAGTTTTGTAGCAACGTAGAATGGCAGAACACTCTAGAAAGATAACACCCACCCCCCAAGACATGCCATGATTAGAAAGGCCACAAACTCAGAATACATAGTGAGCTTGACTGATTGCTGGTCATGGTGGAAACATTCTAATGAAATCAGAAGTTTGTATCTTGGACAACAGAAGCAGCTATCCAAGCCCAACTTGTTAAAAAACGTGGTAGCATGACACAAATTGTAGTGAGTCAGTTTTATCAACTACGCAGAATTTGAGACTAGAAAAAATATTAAAAATAAGCAAAAATGTACCTTTTTGCACCTTTAAAAAGAAGACATTGAATTGCAATCCAAATAGCAGAGACTGAAGACAGGACACTCTCTCTCCCCTGACTATGTGGATCACGGCTACGGAACCACCAAGTATGAGATTTTTGCCATTTCACCTTTGTAAACAGGTGACACTATTTTCTCTATAATTTATGGTTAATTAAGCTTGTTCTAGCACCGTTAGTCCTTTTAAAATAGACATTTCATTTTCTCAGCTTCACGTTATCATTTTTCTTCCTTAGTTTCTTATCATTGTGAGTTTTAGCATTTTTGCTATTGGTAAAACAGGGCCACCTCTTAAGTTTTGGGAAAAGACAACAAACAATATGGGAACCAGGAAACTAAAACACCTGATAGGACACATCTTAAGGTGACCTGCTAGAGGAATTTCACAAATGTTAAATCCTGTGTTGCTTGTACTTGCTGTATCCAGTACATAAGTCAACACAGAATCTAAGGAAACCCTGTCACAAGTCCCGAGTTGCGAGAGAAGAGATCCTCCTGCATGTGACACCTTAGGCATGGCAGTTCATCACCGAGTGAACACGTTCTGTTCGTCTCCCAAGTGTGAAAGGAAAAGGTGTAAATTAGGATGATATACGTGTTAAAGAAGGTCTGTTCCAGCACACGGTGGGCAAAACTGAAACCTTCCAAGTAGAAGTAAAGCTGAGATCCGCTTCATACTGCGGGCTTCCTTCCTGCTGACACCTGAAGGGATGGATCTGCGACGCTGTGGGCTTTTGTGTATATGAGTACTCTGGTAATTTTGCAGTTTCCCCACTTACAGGTAGGAGTCAAGGATTATAACCAGCCATCCCTTAACGTGTAAGCTAAAAGCCCAGCCCAGTTCAGAGCCGAGAACCCAAGGGCCTGACCACTGTCACCTCTGTCTTTCCCTCCTTTGATCCCTGTAGCTACAAATCCACACTAAGTAAGCTAACTTTACCAAGCACTACAATACCCAGACCAACTTTGGTTACACAGCTTTTGGCTTTTATGAAATTATTTGTTAGGACAACCACTATACATGTATCCCTCATTTCTGAACAAACATTTTGGGGGGGATTAAGTCTTTAATTTTACTGCAAAGATATGAGTGCACAGACCAAAGAAATATGTCAGACTGGTATGAGTATGAAATGAGTAGGTCAAGTTTATTCATCAAACAAAGCTGAGGGCAAAATAAAATATATATAATATATATATACTCTGACCTGAAATAATGAAGGAACAGAAGCAAACCATATCTCTAGGCCTCAGGTTTACAGGTTACAAAAAGCCTAGATTTAAAAACAAAAACATTTCCATATATAGATTAGAAGCCTGTGAAAAATATTATAATGTCTTGGGTCTCTCAAGATAAATATGGCCTGATAATTATGCCTTTCAATTACATGGCAAGTCTTTGTTCCTTTCTTCCATCCTTCCACCCTCCATCCGGTAGGGTAGGTACATAAGGCATAAACTAGGCTATTCTGATCTTGTAGGAGAAGCTGCACTGCTTCACTGAACCACTGGATGGTGCTACAAGCTAATTTATCTCTCAGTTCAACAATGACGACAATCTGGAGAATCCCCGGGCTCTGGGGCTGGAGACAAGAGACAATACATGCAGGGGCTGCACATAGAGTTATATTTTCCCAGGCAGCAAATGTAAATTGTACTCTGGAAAGGGAATTTATTTCTTTCCACCATGGGTTTCCACATGGCCCAGTAGATGGGAGGGATTCAGGGATGGAACAGTTTTTTTTTTGTTTTTTTTTGTTTTTTGTTTTTTTTTCTGGTAGCGGGAATTGAACTCACGACCTTGTGCTTGTCAGGTAGGCGCTGTGCCGCTGAGCTAAATCCCCAGCCCGTGAAACAGCTTTTGAGCTAAGTCCTAAAAGTGGTGGAGGAATTTGCTGGGTAGACAACTACGGGAACAGCAGGAGCAAAGAAAAAGAGACATAAAAGAACATGGGTTTTCCAGGAACTGCAAGAAAGTCAGAGGGGCTCAAACCCCGGAAACGTGTGAAGCAGCGGTAGGAAAGAAGCACAATGGTACAGAAACTGAATCCAATCACTAACTGGTATCACATTCTAGCAAACGAGCCCCACGAAGACGTGGTCTTACTCACCACGTCTTCAACGCTTGGAACGGCGCCTGGCGCACACGCAGTAGGAGCACTATGCATATTTACCGAACGAATCATCAAAATTACACTTCACATGGACAGCAATGGAGGACTGGGGCCCTTTCCGCTCTTACCATCCAGAGAATTAAATGTACGGGCACGCTGGTAATGTGAGAGCTTAAGCCAAAAGTTTAGATATTCTCAAGCTTAAGGGCGATCATTTATCTAAACAAGGACAAATGTATAGATTTACCTATTTGCCACAAAAATTTAAAAATAATATTAAAAGCTATGTAAAAGTAAAGCGGTATCTTTTATATAAAGAAGTCATCTAGGTATATCCTTAAATTATTAAAAGCCCAAGAAACAATAATTAGCCCTTTTTTCTGCTTACTCAGGAAAATATCATGGGAATCAGGTCAAAAAAACACTTGTACATTTAGAGGAAGTATTTGGACAGAATTTTAAAAGTTTTTTAAGCTCAACAAGTTGCCATTACCAATTCTGCCTGCTCAGAAACCTGACCTTGACAGCTACAGATGTAGGCAAATTTTCTGGTTTCCCAATATAGAATCCCTAACTGAAAATAATTGGTTAGGCCATAAAGGAAACACTGTCTGAAGCTTTGTCCTTGCTTAGCCTATTAAAAAGCTCCCTGGAGATAACTTTGTAGCATCTTTCTTCCCACTCGCTGGCAGAAGACTGCTTAGGTATCTGTTTTCACAAAACAACTGAGCGGGTCTGGGTTCGGAGCAGAAAGGCTACTACAACTGAACGCCCCGGGGTGGTGGAAAGAAAGATGCCCAAAGCTGCACGAATAGTCAAGAACCACACACCAAATCTTGGAACTTTGCACGGTAAGGCATCTTTCGTATATGGTAACTGTGCACTAAATATGCCTTCCTAAATTTAAAACTGACCGTAACAATCCAGAGCAAGCCTTTCCACTCTATTCATACAACTTGGAATTCTAGAGATGGGGTCTCATCCACCTTTTCTGCGCAATGTAGCCAGCACATATTCTTAGGGCAGAGCCTGGGGCTCTTCTTTGAGGCATAGCAGGAAACTTCACTTTTTACAATCTGTGTATTCATCTACTATTTCAGGAGCTGAAGTCCTCCAGAAAATCTGAGTGGTTAAACACGCATATGCTAGTTTTGGAGTTTGTAATACTCTACTTGCAGACCATGAAATGAACTTTTCCACAAAAGACCCCTTGATTATCTTGTGGGTAGAAAATGTTAGGAAAAAAGGAATTGTTCTGATGGTACAGAGATCTCTGCTGTATGGCAATAAAAAAAAAAAAAGGCCCTTTGATACTGATAATATATGTAGGATTTAGACTAAGCCAAAAATGAAGGCATTCAGAATACTCTGCTCTGAACAAAGAAAATTCTTGATAAATTCTGACTAATAAGCTTACAAATGACGTCCTTCCAAACACATGAGATTTATACATTATGGGTCAAGAACAAAAGGAAAAACAGGGCAATCACACTAAACGCAGTCATTTAATAATAAGTTATTTCCTGAGCACACTAGAACAAGGGTTAGGCACTGGGAATACAGTTGTGCAGGAAAACAAGAGTTCCTAATTTTCTAGAGCTCCTACTTTTGTAGGGGGACCTGGATCACAAACAAATAATAAGATGTGTGTATCATACTGGCATGCAGTAATCAACAGGAAGAAACTTAAACCTGGGTAAAGGACACTGGTGGTGGAAGCAGCTGATGCTTTTACTATGAAGACGAGTAGCCCCAGGGGTGAATCTTAAGCACAGGAGCAAAGACTTTCTTTTGCCATCGTGAGCAGACTGTGGAGACTTCTGGACAGCAGTGGGGAGGCCAGGCTGGGAGGTGCTGGACTGTCCTGGGTGAGACTCAACAGTGGCTCGGGTTTGAGCGGTGGTGGAAGTGCTCAGACCCCACATGTGGTTCAGGGGTGAGGTCAGTAGGGCTTCCTGACAGACTGAATGTGGGATGAGAGGGGCGGCAGGGGAGAGGATCAGCGCTAGCTGAAATCAAACCAACTTGGATTCAAACTCCAGCTTGATCATTTGCTAGCTATGGGGCCCTGAGCCACACTGAATTCCTGTGTAACTGGGGAACATGGCATCTTGCTTACTGTACTATTCTGAGAATCAAATCTAACGCAGTCAAAGCATGAGCGATGTAAGTTCTAGAACACACACATTGGCAGCTATTTTGAAACTTGCTAATATTTGTATTATTAAGGATCAATTTGGAAAGAATGTGGCTAAATCTCTATACCCCGTAAGAGGTGTGTGAACACCAATTTCCAGGAACTCTCTGACCATCAAGGAAACACAACACTGGATCTCTTCACCCTTCTGCACAGAGTGAGTGGCCTGGAGGGACCTCTGAGTTAGCAGATCTTGTGGTACAACAGCGCTGTCAGGCGATGAAAAAAGACATCATCGCTGACCAAAAATGGAGATTCACCTGGTTGGAGTCCAATTATCCCCACAGATTTAGTCGTACTGTTCTGAAGCCATTTCTTAAAGTTGCTTCAGTTGACCAGATATGAATATTTCCAGTGAGAATCTTTCTATTACTGTATAGTTCTATTTAGACTCCATTTGC